CTTTATCATTTTTTACAGTCTTTGATTTGTAGTCTAATTTATTTGATATGAGTACAGCCACTCTTGCTCTTCTTTGGTTTCTAGTTGTATGGAATATCTTTTTCTATCCTTTCACTTTTAGTATGAGTGTGTCTTTATAGGTGAAGTGAGTTTCTTGAAGGCAGCATATAGTTGGGTCTTGTTTCTTTATCCATTCAGCCATTCTATGCCTTTTAATTGGAGAATTGAGACCATTTACATTCAGTGATATCATGGCTAAGTGAGAACATTCTACTGCCATTTTGTTGCTTGATTTCTGCTTAAGACTCCTCTCTTCCTTTGTTCCTTTCTGCCTGTCTTCCTTCTTTCTGCTAGTATGTTCTAATTTGTTGCTTTTTGTTTTGAATGAAGCTATTACAGGTTTTTGTATTGTGCTTATTTACTTAATTATTGAGATGGGATCTCATTCTGTGACCTAGACTGAAGTGCAGTGGCAAGATCACAGCTCACTGCAGCTTTGACCTCCCAGGCTCAATCAACCTTCTCTCGTCGGCCTCCCAAGTAGCTAGCTGGGACTACAGGTGGGCATGGGCACCATTATACCCAGCTGATTGTTTTTTGTGTGTGTTTGTTTGGGTTTTTTTGCAGAGATGAGGTCTCATTATGTTGCCCAAGCTGGTCTCGAACTCCCAGACTCAAGCAATCTTCCCACCTCAGTCTCCCAAAGTGCTGGGATTATAGGCATAAGCCCGCGCACCCAGCCCTAAAACAAGTTATTTTAAAGAGATAACAACTTATCTTAGAATACAAATAAAGAAATAAAAACAAAGGCAACACCAAGCAAAAAATTCTACACTTTAACTCTAACCCTCTCACATTTTGACTTTCAGCTGTCTCGATTTATATATTTTTTAATTATTTATATCTTAAGAAGTTGCTATAGCTATTATTCTTTTTAATAGGTCTTTTGGGCTTCATACTAGAGCTATGAGCATATTGTACAAATACAGTATTACACTATTCTGGGTTTGTCCATGTATTTAATTATATGAATGGGTTTTATACCTTGATAAGTTTTTTGTTTTTTTGCATGTTAGTATTTTTTTTTT